CCAGCCTGGGCAGCAAGAGCGAAACTCAATCTCAAAGAAGAAGAAAAAAGAATGACATTCTAGTAATATCTGGAAAGATGAGCTGGAATTTGTTATCTGGCCACAAAAACATAGTCTAAGCAAAGTAAAAATATGTACAAAGGCACAGAGATAGGAAATTGAACCACTTACTTGAAGAGTTGTAAATAATTCATAATAACCAGGCCAGATGCAGTGGCTCGTGCCTATAATCCCAGCACTTTGGGAGGCTGAAGTGGGCAGATCATTTGAGGTCAGGAGTTTGAGACCAGACTGGCCAGTGTGGTAAAACCCCGTCTCCACTAAAAATACAAAAATTAACTGGGGCATGGTGACACATACCTGTAATCCCAGCTACTGGGGACACTGAGGCAGGAGAATCACTTGAACCTTGAGGGCAGATGTTGCAGTGAGCCGAGATCGTGCCAATGCGCGACAGCCTGGGAAACAGAGTGAGACACCTTCAATAAAAGGTAAAATGAAATAATTCAGAATGACCAAACTGTAAGTTTGAAGGAGGGGCTAAAAGGAAGGATGGGAAGGTGGAGCTAGACAATAAAAGACCTTTTCTGTATTAAAATGTAGGGACCTTTTTCTGGAATAGTGTAATCAGGTGTACTTTTTTCTTTTTTTGAGACGCAGTCTCACTCTGTCTCTAGGCTGGAGTGCAGTGGCACAATCTCGGCTCACTGCAACCTCAGACGGTCTGGCTCAAGCAATTCTCCTGCCTCAGCCTCCCGAGTAGCTGGTACTAAGGCACATACAACCACGCCCAGCTAATTTTTGTATTTTTAGTAGAGACAAAGTTTCACCATGTTGGCAGGATGGTCTCAAATCTCTTGACCTCGTGATCCGCCTGCCTGGGCCTCCCAAAGTGCGGGGATTACAGGGATGAGCCACTGTGGCTGACTGGTCAGATCTACTTTTTTAAAAGAAGTTCCGGCCGGGCGCGGTAGCTCACATCTGTAAGGCAGAGGCGGGCAGATCACCAGAGGTCAGAAGTTAGAGACCAGCCCGACCAACATGAAAAAAACCCCTTCTCTATTAAAAATTACAGTGGGAAAACAGTAAATGGTGTAAAAACACTATAGATACCACTTTAACCAATTGATTAAAGTTTTTGTTTTGTTTTGTTTTGTTTCTGAGATGGAGTTTTGCTCTTGTTGCCCAGGCTGGAGTACAACGGCAGAATCTTGGCTCACTGCAACCTCCACCACCCGGGTTCAAGCGATTCTCCTACTTCAGCCTCCCGAGTAGCTAGGATTAACAGGCATGCACCACTACTCCTGGATAATTTTTTTTATTTAGTAGAGACGGGGTTTCTCCATGTTGGCCAGGCTGGTCTCAAACTCCTGACCTCAGGTGATCCACCCACCTTGGCCTCCCAAAGTGCTGGGACTAGAGGCATGAGCCACTGCACCCAGCCCAATTGAGTAAAGTTAACATCATAGTAATGGAACAAATCAACATCATGAACCTCCTGATATTATGCATTGAGGAGAATGCAACATCATCACTTCTGTGGTAATCCTACCAAAATGTGTAACCTAAATCTAATCATAAGGAAACACTATAAGATCACTTGTCTGTACTCTTGAAAACTGTGAATATAATGAAAAACAAAGAAGTGAAGATTAAAAGAAACTAAATACACATTAAATCTGTACATAATGCATAATTCTGGATATTATTTCCACAAAGGACTTTATTGGAATGATTGGAAAAATATGAATAAGGTCTGCAAATTACATGATAGTATACATACTCAGTTTTATTTCTGTAATCATACTGTGGTTATGTAGGAGAATTTTCATTTTTAAAGAAGTATACATTGACTTACTTAGGGCAAAGGAGTAGCATACAACTTGCTCTCAAATGATTTTTTGAAAAATCACATATAGAACAGTGATGTTCACAGCAACAGCATTTACAATAGCCAAAAGTAGGGTCTACCTAAGTGTTCATTGGTGGATGAATGGATAAACAAAATATGGTGTATACATGCAATGGACTATTATTCAGCCTTAAAAAAGAAGGACATTCTGACATAATGCTACCTGGAAGACATTATACTAAATGAAAGTCACCAAAGGACAAATATTGTATGAACCTACTTATATGAGTTACATATAGTAGTCAAATTCATAAGGACAGAAAGTAGAGTGATGGTTGCCAGAGCCTAGAGGAGGAGGGAATGGGGAGTTATTGTTTAATGAATTGGTATAGAGTTTGATTGTGGGAAGATGAAAAGGTTCTGTAGATGGATAAAGGTGATGGTTGTACAACAATGTGAATGTACTTAATGCCACTGAACCATACACTAAACAATGGTAAAATGGTAAGTTTTAGGTTCTATTTTACCACAGTTTTGAAAATTAAAAATAAATCATGTGTGGAGGGGGAATTTTAAAAAGTAGTCGAATGAACAGTTACCATCTGAAGAGGTGGATAGAATTAAGAATGAAGTTAGAGGAATCAATTAAAAGGCTGTTGTAATAATCCACTGTGATGGTGCAGATGGTGAAAATGGATGCATCTAAGACTTAATATAAGCAGTATTAGAGACTGATAGTATACTATTTTAGACTTCTTCATCACATTCAGCTTCTGGTAGATGGTAGTACTGTTACCAAAACACAGTCAGGGACCACATAACAGTATTTCAGTCAGTGACTCACCACACATACAACAGTGGTCCCGTAAGATTATAATGAAGCTGAAAAATTCCTATAACCTAGTGACGTAGCCATTGTGACATCACAACGCAATGCATTACTCACGTTTACGGTGAAGCTAGTGTAAACAAAGGTGTGCTGCCAGTGGTATAAAAGTATAGCACATACAGTTATGTACAGTATATAATTCTGGATAATAAATGATTATGTTACTGGTTTATATATTTATTGTTATTTTAGAATGCATTTCTACTTATTTAAAAAAAGTTAACTGAAAAATAGCCTCACATAGGTCCTTCAGGAAGTATTCCAGAAGAAGACATTGTTATCATAGGCAGTGACAGCTTCAAGCATGTTGTTGCCTCTGAACACCTTGCAGTGGCACAATATGTGGAGTTAGAAGACAGTGATGGATGATCCTCACCCTATGTAGGCCTAGGCTAATATGTGTGTTTATTGTCTTAGATTTCAAGAAAAGTTCAAAAGTAAAAAATGAAAACATTTTACAATAGGAAAAAAAGCTTCTTGAATAAGGATATGAAGAAAGAAAGTATTTCTTCATATTTGAAAAAGTTAAAAAGTGTGTAAAGTTAAAAAGCTACAGTAAGCTAAGGTTAATTTAGTTTGTTTTTTTAAAATAAATATAGTGTAACATAAATGTATGTTTTTAAAGTCTACAGTGGCATACAGTAATGTCCTAGGACTTCACATTCACTCACCATTCACTCATTGACTCACCCAGAGCAACTTCCAGCCTGTAAGCTGCATTCATATTAAGTGCCCTATACAGGTGCACCATTTTTTATTTTTAATACCATGTTTTTACTGTATATTTTCTATGTTTAGATACACAAATACTTACCATCATGTTATACTTGCACATAGCATTTGGTACAGCAGTAACATGCTGTACAGGTTTGTAGCCTAGGAGTATAGACTATCTACCATATGGTCTAGGTATATAGTAGGCTATACCATCTAGGTTTATGTATTTATACTCTGTAATGTTTACACACTGACAAATTGTGCATTTGTAACAATGCATTTCTCAGAACGTATCTCTGTCATTAAGCAACACATAGCTATACAGTAGTTATGAGTAGATGCCCAGACATCTACAGTCTTTGCCTGATGATTCACCTACCTAATACAAATTTACTCTTCATAAGTTGGCTCACATGTTATGAGAAGTCCTCCCCAAGGCTCTGAACAGTTATTCTCTTTACCACATACCCTTTCTTAGAGTGAATCAGTCTTTTTCTCTTCCTAGATTTTGTGATAGCATATTTTGCATTCATATAACAATGTATCAAAATAGATGGTTTATCTGGTCTTCCATATTCTGAGCTCCTAGAGAGCAGAAACCATGGTCATGTTTATGAATCCATGCCACTTTTCATAGAGTGTGGTGTATGACAGGTACTTGGCAAATGTTTGAATGAATTCAGTATGTTACCATGTATCTACACTATTTTTCTTCATAATGTACTTTCTTCTTTCTTTCCAAGTCCCCAAAGTTTATACTCTACTTTAATAGTCCTGTAACTGGTCTTTCTACTTTTATTTTGTAGTTCTCTGTAGCAGACTGTACATTAATGTCAGATTAGTGGAATTCCATATTTTGGAACAGATGTATAAAAACCTTCAATATCTTCCCATTTTCTAAAGAATAAGTTCAAGCTCACTAGAAGGACTTGAGACCCTTCATACTATGTTCTCAGAATATACCATCTTTATTTCAGATTCTGTTTACTTACCTGCCTAACTTTATTCAACAAGTATCTGAACACCTGCCTTTTGTAAGGCTTTGTTGAAGAAGAAAGTTTACTAAATATGACATATGCTCATTATCTTTGTGTTCACTTTTGGTACCTCATTTCCCTTTACTACTTCATTTCATATAGAAGAAAATAATCTTTGGAGAACACTCAACCATATTCATATTTAAGCTAGAAGTTCCATTTTAGAATAAAACATGACTAATATAATGAAGTTTAGGATAGGCGGCAAGCCATTCAGCACAGTGTTTGAGTAAAAGTTCAATAAATGTTTAAACTGAATTAATTTTGTTTAAATCTTTAAAGATAGAAATGTAAGTTTATGTTGATAACAAAGAAAGTTACTGGTTTATTGTTTGAAGCCTGTGGAAACCTGTCTTTTAGTCTATGGTAGTTTAACCATTAACATTCGAACTTTGCTTGCTATATATTATTTATAGTTGTAGCACTTTAAAACACAAAATCAGAACATATGTAAGAATTCTACATTACACGTTTTCAAAACTTTCTTTTTACATTCTCTTTATAGGTTATATGTAAAGTCAGATGTGCCACTGAACTTGACAAACACAAGTAAGTTTTATGAGTATTTGAATTTCTATCTAAAAGATCTAAAGTATTAATTCATTAATATGAAGGTTTAGTATCTAAATGATATAATTTTTTTGTATAGTCAACAACTCATGGTAGAAGGGAGTGGTAGTTGAGACCACCTTCACGGTTTTATAAAAACCAAGTTGTTAGATTGGTTCAAAGAAAGTAAATTGAATAGCCCACATTTCTCTCCCTTCAGCCATACCATACTGCTGACTAATATATTTTGTTTGTTTTGGCTTTTGATTTTTTGCTGCTCTGTCCCTGTCCTGTTTGAAATGTCAGATCTAATTAGGTAGGGTCCCCTTTTGCCAAACTTAGATTATGCTGTTTGGGGTGAGAATGTTCTGTGAAATAAGTAATATTTCAGTACTGATCAGTCTCAAAAGCAAGAGTGCTAAGCTGTGGAGTCAGGAGATTGAAGTTTCTCACTAACTTGCTGATTGCAACTCATGTACCGTCTCTCTGCTTTAGTTTTCTAAACCCCTCTAATTATCTGGATATATAGGTAATTTCAAGTTCCTTTTTGGGTTTCAAACTATGTAATTGTTTTTATTATTTAATCTGAGAGAACTTTAAAATACAATCTTTTAAAACTAAAATCTTTGTGCTTTGCATTTACACTAAACACTTCAGTTTGCTTGTTACAGATTGCACATTACCTTCAATTTACCTCATTTAAACCATTTCCAAAGGCAGCTACCTTTATGATTTCCACTTTTGAAGTGACCCAATAGATCAGGAAGCCAGATAAATTTCAGCATCGTATGTATTTAATTTGGGAGTACAAATGTGTTTGAACTGGGATTACATTCGTACAGATAGCTGTTACTGCTGCTTGATACAGATAGCAACCTTAACTGAAGAGTTCTTATGAGGTAGCCTAACTCTTCTTAGGGGGAAGAGGTTAAGGATTTCATGTGCAGAATTGCTCTGTATGCACAGTAAATATGGACCTTTATAAGAACATGAGGTATTGATGAGTGCTTGAAACTCTACATATACGGCCCCTATGTTCTTCTTCAGTCAAGTTTGAAAGCATTGTGTGCTATAATCAGAAGTTCCTGAGGGATATTGCTTAAAACATACTTTCTTTAACTCTTAATTTTTTTTTTAAGGCAATCTTGCTCTCTCACCCAGGCTGCAGTGCAGTGGTGCTATCTTGGCTCACTGCTACCTCCACTTCCTGGGTTCAAGTGATTCTGTGCCTTGGGCTCCTGAGTAGCTGGAACTACAGGCATGTCCCACCACACCCAGCTAATTTTTGTATTGTTAGTAGAGATGGGGTTTCGCCATGTTGCCCAGGCTGGTCTCGAACTCCTGGCCTCAAGTGATCTGCCCACTTCTAACTTCCAAAGTTCCAAGATTACAGGTGTGAGCTGCTACGACTGGACTAACTCTTACAATTAACGTTAGGTAATCAATATAAATTTAGATACAGTATATTTTCAGGCACATTATAAAAGCCTGATAATTCTTGGAATGGAAAGGTTAATGAAAATATGTTTAATAATTATAAAAATGAATTCTGGATTACTTGATATAGTGTTAAAATAGTCCTATCTCATTCCTGGTAGAGACAACTTAGTTCAAGTCAACATGAGACTATTTCTGAGTAAATGCTTAAAAATCTATGCCATTCTTAAATAATCTAGATACTAATTTTATAACAGCAAAGATAGCTCAAGTAACTCTGAGAGATTATTAAAATTCCTTTTAATGAAATTATAAAGATTTCAAACTGAAGAAATTATTGTACCTAAAGTAACACACTAATTCAGAATTTAATTTCTTAATAGTTATATAACCATCTATATACTTTTTTTCTTTCAGAGTTCTACTGCATTTGGGCTTTATATTGGCAAGCCTTGTCTTTTTAGTGGTGAACTTGACTTGTGCAATGCTAGTTCATGGAGATGTCCCAGAAAATCAGTTGAAATGGACTGTGTTTGTTCGAGCATTAATTAATGATAGCCTGTTTATTCTTTGTGCCATCTCTTTAGTTAGTTACATATGCAAAATTACAAAAATGTCATCAGCAAATGTCTACCTCGAATCAAAGGTAAGTGTATTTCTTAAATGGGCACTTAAACATCTAATTTCAAATTCTTATCCTACAAATCACATTTTAATGGAAAGTTTAAATTGCTATTTTATTTGAAATGGGGTCTCGCCATATTACTCAAGCTGGAGTGCAATAGCTATTCACTGACGTAATCACTGTGCAGTAGAGCCTTGAGCTTTTGGGCTCAAGTGATCTTCTACCTCATCTTCTCAAGTAGCTGAGACTACAGGCATATTGCTTTTTTAAAAAATATCCTGAGTGACAGTTACACTTTGAGCATGAAAGAATAATCACTAGAAATTAAAAGCTATTCAGTATTTGGTCCTTACTAAATAACAGTTTAAAGAAAAGAAATAATACAATAAGCATATTGTATTTTCTGTGACTCTGCATTGGAGGCTCATCACATGAAATAAATCAGAATATACATGAATGGATCAAAAATAGTCTATAATATAAAGCCACATTATCATCTTAAGATTTTGCCCAGTAAGGGTGGCAGGGTTAGCAATATTAAGATGTCATATAGGTAAAAGTTGTTCTTATTTGTATAAAGCTAAGAAAATGTTGACTTCACCCAATAATATGAAGTCTGTATGATATTTGAAACAACTAATTGTGTAGCAAAATTTGTAAATGCCTTGCATCTCCTTTCCGTACACTTTGGATCAACAAACAGAAGCCAGATACTAACCCATCACAAAGAAACTTGGAAGTTTCTACCATTGTTGATTGACGATGTGGTTGGGTAGAAAATTGGTCATCACAGTTTATGTGTGGCATTGGGTGTGAGGGGGTAGATATGTGGATATTGGGGTGTGAGTATGTACATACAAACATTTTTACAATCACATTCACAGAAGAGCTTGCTTTCTTGCTTTAATTTAACATCATAGCCTATTCACAATAATAAATTGAGGTAGTATGTTAGCCACTTAAAACAGTCCTCTGAAATATTTTTAAGCTTCTATATTGTCATTGTTCTTAATATAGTCCTGGTAAAGTAAGGTTCTATAATTAAGTATATGGTAACCAACTTGTACTTTAAATGTAGGCAGAGATTTTAATTTTACTTTTGAAACATATTTCAGTGGAATGCTGGAGAAAATACTATATGTGCATATATATGTATATGTATATATATATAAAGAGAGAAAGAAGAGACAAAGAAAATCAGACTTTCAAACCTATTAATCTTACCTGGGAAATTATTTTATTAAATTTCTATTCCAGTTTCTTTCTAACATTTAAATATTCTAGCTAATTTGGTCTTTGGTTTGACTGTTAAGAATAAAACTGTCACTGTTATGGTTCATAATCTATTGGTAGGAGCAACAGCATCTTTACTCAGGATACTAACATCACTATAGAATTTATACCTCTTACTTGTCTAGGGATAAAGCATAAACAGATGTTGAATTTCAAGTGCTTCTTCTCTAGATACTTCGTGTATTGCTAAATTTGGTTTTTTACTTGCTTTGAAATAGATAATACTCTGAATAAAGTCACGAATCTGAGAAGAAAATTTCATTTAATAAATCCTCCAGAATTATTCAAACACTGTTCCCTTACTATCATATGAAAGGGATTTACTTATTGTTATTTAAAGTTTTAAATTTAAAAGCTGCATGGATTCAGAATTATCCAGGAATACTACAGATATACATGTTTAGTCATGTTCACCTATAAAAGTAGATGACATGCTAGATGATTTGTTAATATTGTAATGTTAAGTAGTTCCCAGTCTTCCTAACTATATTATAAACTTCTGTATTCAAATAGCATGTCGGCTGGGCGAGGTAGCTCACACCTGTAATCCCAGCACTTTGGGAGGTCGAGGCAGGCAGATCACGAGGTCAAGAGATCAAGACCACCCTGGCCAACATGGTAAAACCTCCTGTCTACTAAAAATGCAAAAATTATCCAGGTGTGGTGACATGCACCTGTAGTCCCAGCTACTCGGGAGGCTGAGACAGGAGAATCACTTGAACCCAAAAGGCAGAGGTTGCAGTGAGCCAAGATCACATCATTGCGCTCCAACCTGGGCAACAAAATCAAAACTGCATCTCAAAAAAAAAAAAAAAGAGTATGTCATCTTGCTTTCATGTTCTACTTGTAAAATCACTAGACTCATTTTTGGCTTTTGAGTTCTGTAGAAGTGTACGGTAATAGTCATTCCTTTTATTCAGTGAACAAGTGTTAACATCTACCTCTTTCACTTTCTTTTTTTTTTTTTTTTTTCTCTCTCCCTCTCTCTGAATACCTTTGGTACTTTTTCACCATCAAACTGACGCTGTTTCTTGCTGTCTTTAAGAGCATTTCCTTAAAGTTCAGGCTTTTGGTTTTCTGTCATCCTCTTTTTATTATTCCTTCCTTCTTTTACATGTTCTGTGATAATAAGATCCTCTGTAATTTGTCTCAACCAATCTTACCTTTCATATTTTCAAATGACACACAGTATGCCCTCTATCTCTATATCCTTAGGCTGTTTTATTAATCAGGAACAGCCTTCCTCCTCCTACACATCTCTACCAGATTGTTCATATCTTATCCAACTTTAAAGACTTCACTTAATCTTTCCCCTTTTTATGAACTCAATTTGATCCCTTCTCCCCCAACTCCAAAATAAAATTTGGAAATAACTCCCACTATCTGAGTTATCTTCAAATTTTATTTATTTCTCTTGGGGCACTTACCAGTTTATACAAGGTGGGATTTGTATGTACAATCTAATTTTTTTGTATTTTTTAACTGACATGTCAATTGTACATATTTTGGGGGTACTTGTGATATTTTGCTACAATGCAAACAATATATAATAATCAAATCAGAGTAATTGGGATATCATTGCCTCAAACATTTATATTTTCTTTGTGTTGGGAACATTACAGTTCTTTCTAGTTATTTTGAAACATATAATAAATTGTTATTCACTATAATTTCCTTAATGAACAGTTGAATACTAGAACTTATTCCTTCTATCCAACTGTATTTTTGTACTCATCAACCAACTTCTCTTCATCCTCCCCCACCACTCTTCCTTTTTCAGCCTCTAGTAACCATCATTCTACTATACCTCCATGAGATCCACTTTTTTAGCTCCCACATATGAGCGAGGACAAGTATATTTGTCTTTCTGTGCCTGGCTTATTTTACTTAACATAATGAACTCCAGGTCCATCGATGTTGCTTCAAATGACAGGATTTCATTCTTTTTATGCCCATGTAATGGTTCATTGTATACATATACCACATTTTCTTTATTCATTCATCTATCTGTTGATGGGCACTTAGGTTGATTCTATATCTTGGCTAATATGAATAGTGCTACAATAAATAAAGGAGTTGCAGCTGTCTCTTTGACATAGTGATTTCCTTTCTCTTGGATACCTACCCAGCAGTGAGATTTCTGGATCATATGGTAGTTCTATTTTTAGTTTTTCAAGGAACTTCCATACTGTTTTTTGGGTTGGTTGGTTTGTTTTTGAGACGGAGCCTCGGTCTGTTGCCCAGGCTGGTGTATAGTGGCACACCGTTAGCTCCCTGCAACCTCTACCTCCCAGGTTCAAGTAATTCTCCTGCCTCAGCCTCCTGAGTAGCTGGGATTACAGGTGCCCACCACCACACCTGGCTAATTTTTGTTTGTTTGTTTTTTGGGTTTTGTTTTGTTTTGTTTTTGAGGTGAAGTCTTGCTCTGTCGCCCAGGCTGGAGTGCAGCGGTGCTATCTCGGCTCACTGCAACCTCTGCTTCCTGGGTTCAAGCAATTCTCCTGCCTCAGCCTCCCAACTAGCTGAAACTACAGGCACCCACCACCACGCCTGGCTAATTTTTGTGTTTTTAATAGAGATGGGGTTTCGACATATTGGCCAGGCTGGTCTCGGAACTCTGGACCTCAGGTGATCTACCTACCTCATCCTCCCAAAGTGCTGGGATTACAGGCATGAGCCACCACACCCAGCCTTTTATTAATTTTAGTAGAGATGGGGTTTCACTATGTTGGTCAGTCTGCTCTCGAACTCCTGATCTGAAGTGATCCACCCACCTCAAATCCCTAAAATGCTGGGATTATAGGCATAAGCCACTGTGCCCAGCCTCATACTGTTTTTCATAACAGTTGTCCTACTTTACATTCCCATCAACAGTGTACAAGCATTCACCTTTCTCCACATCTCTGCCAGCACTTGTTTTTTGTCTTTTTGATGATAACCATTCTAATGGGTGAAATGATAACCCGTTGTGGTTTTGATTTGCATTTCCCTGATGATTGGTGATGTTGAGTTTTTTTCATTTAACTGTTGACCATTTGTATGACTGCTTTTTAGAGATGTCTGTTCAGGTATTTTGCCCATTTTAGTTTGATCTTTTTGCTATTGATTAAGTTTCTTATATATTCTGGTTATTAATCCCTTGTCAGATGGATAACTTGTAAATATTTACTCCCATTCTGTAGGTTGTCACTTCACTTTGTTAATTGTTTCCTTTGCTGCGCAGGAGCTTTTTAGCCTGATGTAATCCTATTTGTCTATGACTACTTTGGTTACTTTTGCTTTTCAGGTCTTACCCAAAAAAATATTTGCCCAGATGAAGGTCCTGGAGCATTTCTCCAGTGTTTTCTTCTGGTACTTTCATAGTTTCAGGTCTTACATTTATGTTTTTAATCCATTTTGAGTTGATTTTTGTACATGGTGAAAGGTGGGGCTCTTTAATTCCTCTGCATATGGATATCCAATTTTCCCAGCACCATTTATTGAGATTGTGACTTCCCTCCAGTGTATGCTCTTGGCACCTTTGTCAAAAATAAGTTGACTGTAAGTGCGTAGATTTATTTCTGGGTTCTCTGTTCTGTTCCACTGGTCTGTGTGTGTGTTTTTATGCCAGTACCATGCTGTTTTGGATAGCTTTGCAGTATAATTTAAAATCAAATATTGTGATGCTTCCAATTTCGTTCTTTTTACTCAGGATTGCTTTAGCTATTCAGGGTCTTTTGTGGTTCCAT